ACAGAGAAGACAAGTAGTGACTCTACAGTGTCCTACTATGCTGATGGAGAGTGACTGTAATGGGGTTTGTTGGGGGGACTTGGTGAAGGGGGGAGCCTAGTAAACATACTGTTCCTCATGTAATTGTAGATTAATGATACCAAAATTTAAAAATTTTTAGTTAAAAATAAAAAAATTTTTTTAAATCCCTGGGCAAATAGTAACACACTACACAAATTGCAAAATGGTATAGTTTTTTTATTATTAACTTGTACTACCACTTAACCACCCATCTTTATTAAAACAGCTTATCAAGATTCAACGAAGTATAATAGATCAGCTATTGTTCACTATCTACTAAACTGACTTTCCTAAGGGCTGGAACTCAGGTGCCTAACGTACCACTATTTGCTAGTATAGAGTTAGCTCATGACTCTCAGTATAATCATGAAGATAAAATGAATGCGAATTCAAGGCTGATAGTCTTTGGTGTAGCTCCAGGTATGGGCTGGATATGTGGGTTCCATTACCCACACCTAGCAAGAGAGTAAAAATAAAGATTTCTAGACCCCATTCAAGACCTACTGAATTATAACCCTTAAGGGGTGAGAAGCCTGAGAATCTAAACTTTTGACAAGCACACCCAGTGATAATATTCACTAAAGTTTGAGAATCATTGCCATAAAAATTTCATTTGATCAATTACCTAGTAAAATACTTCTTGTATTCTTTTCATTCAATGATTTTCAAATTTTCACATAAACTAATACCCCACCAAAATGCCCACAAGATATTCCTAAGTTATTAAGATTATCTCTCAATAAACAAATATACATACAAATATTTTTATAAATATATATATTTAATATTAATTTCTTATGATTTTAACAAGGGAATGTTGATGGGTACCTTATCATTAGCTGTCGAGGAGGTAAGCATAAAGTCTCTGCCTAGAATAAATATGATTTTGAGTGCTTGAAAGCCAACCTTAGGGGGTCCACGCTTATTAAAGATCACACTACCCAAATAACAAAGAGACAAAACAAACTAGCCAACAGACAAACCTAATCCCTCAAAATTATCCATATCCACCACATGCTTAAACCCTCCTATGGGCATCTCTCATGAAATCAATCAAGAGCCTTTGGAACTACTTTAACCTTATGGAACTACTTTAACCTTAAGAAAATTATCCTGAAGTGAAATGTTCTTCACATACTATATAATTAATGCAAAGACATATTTATTTTGGTTCTATTTGTTGAAAGCATCCTTCACTTACTAGCCTCCAGGTATATACACATTAAAGTGAAAACACTCAATATTTGTTACATGGGAAAAATTACAAGGTGGAGACTAACATTGCTAGTCAAAAAAATTTCCATCTGCAATAAAATTTAGAGTCCAGAAGGCTTGTTTATACTCCAGTACCACGTCTTGCAACATGACTCCTTCCCAAACCAGTTAGAATCTAGTCAGTTTTGAAGGGAGTAAGGACAAACTCAACCATACTGAAGTTTTAACAACTGTTCCAAGATTCAATAAGGACAGGGCCTCAGTTAGCAGACTTTTAAAAAAAATACAAAGAAACTAATAATGCTCTTAATTTTGTCCAAGCTTGTATTCCCTTAAACCTCAAAGATAGTTTCTTCCACATCTCTCAGTTGTCCAAACAGCCGTATATGAAAATTGGAATAAAACAAATTGTGTATAGGAGTAAAGTGTCTGAAAGTCTTACTTAGTAAGCAGCAATTAATAAGATTCAGACATCCACCTATAACTTCTACAAACTACATCTGCATAATAATCATCTACCCTGACCTCACTTGACATTTCATCAACATGCAAAGCTTTCTTGGAATAATGGAAAGGTTAACTTAAGGAACTTGGATGAGACAGAAAGTTCTGAGTGTTGCCTAAAGAATGCTTTAGGAAAATTAGAACCAACCTACCAAGATCAAAAGAAGTAGCAGACAATGATATCCCTCAAGAATCCAGTCTGTTTCATTGTAGTTTCACCACCTTGTAAATTTCAGGTGGAAACTGATTTTAGCTAGTGAAAGAATTTTCTCTGTTGACTTGGGCATCTCACAGAGAAACAGAACAATGTATGAAGTTGAGTACATACGTGTGACTGAGTGTACTTGTGGGCTGACGGGCAGAAGGATACTGGAGGTACCTGTTTCCTTGGACTAAACCTGGACTTGGCCATCTATACCCCCAGATCTGTCTCTGTTTTTGTAAATAAAGTTTTATTGAAACACACACACACACACACACAAAGAATCAGATCTGTTTTGTCACTGATTTCCTTCTTTCACTTGAAAACCAAGAAGATGCAGGCTTTGGAAGGAGAGAGAAAGAAATTGGACAGTGGAGGTCTCGAATAGTGGAGGTCTTGGAATCTTATTTATTAATTAGCTTGGCTCTGTGTTGCAACTATTTCCACTATAGTAGCAGAGCAGCTTCAAAGAATGAGGAAATCAAAATACAGTTAGAAAGTGAGAAACCAATGTCAGGAAGATGTCTGATCATCACAACCTTCCAGGGAAAGGTTCTCTAAGCAGAGTGCTCTTCCACGCTGCCCACTAAAAGAGACAAAGTTCTCTATTCAGCACCAGTGATGTGCCAAAATGTAATGTCTTCTCTAGAAGGAGGAATGCACCTAGACTAGGACCTGGTCCTGAGGCAAGTCCTTCTTCCTGTCCTAGGGGACCATCTGAGGCCTCCTTTACAATACCTAGTTTATATCTGGACTCTACTGCAAAAACCACAACAAAGGCAAGAAGCCACCAACTATGTTGGCTGGCATGCATATATTTGAAATGGTTGATTACATTAGCTGTAATCAGGGAAAGGGCCTGTGTCCCTCTGGGGGTCCCCATCCGAAATGAGAAAAGCCAGCTGGGCCCATAAGGTGAGGGAAGCAGGGGTGGAGGCAGATGCTCAGCTCCAGTTTAGGACAACGGCCTGCCACACTCTGTAGTCCTCTATAGAACTGTCTGTTTAGTTTCCTTACTCCTGTAAAAAAGTGATTTAGAATTCTGTGATAAACTTGTAATTTGAAATCAATACCTTAGTTTTAAATTTTAAGATAAACAGCTGGATCCAAAAGTTAATTTCCAAAGGGAAAGGAAAATGACAGTTCAAAGAACTTTTATCAGAAGGAAACATTAGAGATAGATACTGAGTTATTTTGAGTTAAAAGAATTAGATGCCCAGGTACAAAGCAAAAGATCCCTATTGCATCCTATATCTGAATGCCCTGACCCCCAAAAGATTAAGAATATATGCCAGAGAATACCAGAAAAGAGTATGTAGCACAATAATGGAAAAAAGAAAGCATCATTTACAGGAAGGTCAGAGGAAAGGAATAATAGCTCTGAACACTTGTTTTGGTGAGCTACTCTTCCTTGACATGGAAGGTAGGAGGAAATAGAATCAGTTGATACCAAGAGTAAGAATGTCAAGGATAAGAGCAGGAAGCATAAGGTGAATAAGAAGGGTGGACTCCACTATAGGCTAGACCTTCAACATATTATCCCCTTTAAAACACTGACTGAAAGTTGTGGAAATTATTAAAATAACATTAATTTAATAAATGAGAAATGCTACATGAGAGCAAATCCAAGCACTGAAGAAGAAGGCAAAAGTGTGAGGGGTGGGGGGAGAGAATACCCAAGATAGATTAAGAAGATACAGGATTGATGACTGCTGAGGTAAATGGAGATATGAGAGCATACACCACCTGTCAGTCGACCAGCAATCACTATATAAACTGTAATACAAAAACACAAATGTAACACCTGGATTAGAGTAGTGGAGGAGGTCTGCACTGAAATTGCAAGACAAAGCAGCATCCTGCCAGTTCTTTTAAGAGATGAAGTGGGGGAAGTGAGGATGAAGGAGTACAAAGGGGGAGGATCTGCAGCGGGGAGAGGATAGGTTGCAGCTGCAGAAGGGGACTAAAAAGAGAAGGGAAAGCAACCTAGAAGAGGAAACAGGATAAAAGGCAAACGTGCAATCACAAGAGGATAAAGCAGGAGAAGAAATGGAAATGGCATGCCCTGAAAAAGTAGGGACGTCAATGACCCAAAGCAGGGGTTGTAGTTTGGGGGAAGTAGGAGCTAAGAAGAGCCCTACCATAAACCTTATAGAAAGGAAGTATGAGTATGGTTCAGGAATGAAGACGGGTGAGAATGGCTATGCTCTCAGAGGGATGTGGTGATGGGGACACTAGATTCAAAATCCTCGTGTAATTTGGGGACTTCTGTGAAGAGAAACTTGAGTCAAAGATCCCACCAAACGCCCCCCTACCCCAAAAAAAGGCATGCACGCGTCAGAAAAGAAGGTAAACGCTTATTGGAGCATGGATACAAAAGGGAGGGGAGGAAAGCGACACACAGTAGGACAGAAAAATACAGGGATGCTTAACCATAAGGATAGAGCAACTAAAGAAGTAAAAAGAAGTGCGGTGTGAGGATGATGTTTCCGGAGGAAAAGCAGGAGCAGACCAGAGGTCCTGCCTGCTCGGTCTAGAGGGCAGAAGACACGGTCCACGGGGGCTGAAGGGGGCGGTGAACAAGAAGCTATGATGCCAAAGACGCGAACTTGGGGAGGACAGGCAGTGGTTGTGTCAGAAAGGGAAATGCTGTCAGTCAGAGCACAAGAGGGTTACTACGAGGAAAGCAAGCGGCAGGAAGGAGCAGAAAACAGCATGCCAAAGGAGAAGGCAAAGGGGCAAAAAAGAAGCCAAAAGAATGAAGGCAGGGGTAAAAGCAGTAAGGGCGCAGGGACATGCCCAGGAGATTCCAGGTATGTAGGTGGGGATCTCCCAAATTCAGGGTGTGGGTAGGTAGAAGGGTCAACCCCAACGCACTGCGGGTCCTGAGGAGGGGGCGGGGGTCACAGAGCCGGTTCGGGGCTGGCGGGGGAGGCGCGGCCTGAGGGTGACAGAGGAAAGAAGCGGGGACTGGCGGAGGGGAAGGGGTTGATGGGGTGGCGGCGGCCCCGATACTCACACCTCCAGAATGCGGTCTCCCTTGCGCACCCCGGCCCGATCGGCCGCCCCCCCGGGCAGCACGGCGCTCACATGCTGCAGCGGCGCGTACAGCTCCCCGTTGATGCTCCGCAGCTGCCCGCCCTCGCTCACTTGGCCCCGCACGTTGAAGCCGTAGCCGGACTCGGACTTGACGATGCGCACGACCCGCGGACCACCGCCAACCCCGCCGCCGTTACCGGCGCAGCGCAGCCCAGACCCCCCACCGCCGCCACCGCCACCACCGCCTCCGTTCCTCTGAGGGGCTGAAGGGTGAATCCCTTCCCCGTCTTCGTCCGCCATCTTGCGAGCAAGGGAGCCGTGCCCCCGCCCCCCTAGGTCTCCACTCCTTCCCCGCGCGAGCTTGCCGTCCTCAGAGACCGCGCCACCCCACGCGCCCGCGCCCACTCCGCCGCCCGCGGGACCCAAGCTGGCCACAAGGCTGCCAGAGGGGTAAGGAGGAGGTGGAGGGCGGAGGGGACGCGGGAGGTTGGCCACCGTGAAGCCTCTTGGGAGTTGTAGTTTCCGGACGGTGGGGCCGGGGAGGAGCCCGGAGATGAGGTTATATGACGTAGTTCGGAAGCAAAGCTCGCTGGGAATTGTAGTTTGTCTTTTATGGTCTTAGGAGAAATTTCTTGTTGGATGGTGGCAGTTAAGGCGGGTGGGGGGAGGAGCGTGGCCGCAATTCAGCTGTTGACGTGGGGCAAGTTTTCTTTTTCTTTCATTTCATACCACTGTCATTTCTTAGCCTCTAAAAACAATAAGATTAGGAAAATTTGACATTCGTGATTCATTACAGTCTTAAATTATAACAAATTTGCTCACTACCTTATGTGGTCACACACATTATTTTATTCCATGCCCCAACAACAGTGTGAAACAATTGTGTCATGAGTTAGTTTCTGTATTTCACATATTAGGAAGCTGATACCTTACAGTGCCCAAAGTCATCCAGCTATTAAGTAACAGGAACTAAGGCCCCCGTTATTTTTGTGCAATATTCTTCTCCTTTTTACAACTACGGTTGACCCTTGAATACTGAGGGGGTATTGGTGGGGGGGTCTGACCTCCCACGCAAGTGAAAAATTCATGTATAACTTTTTTTTTTTTTGCCATTTTTTAAGTTAAGGTATCATTGATACCTTAAGAAGGTTTCACATGAAAAACATTGTGGTTACTGTTAGGTAGAGTTCGGTTCAGTGACGCAGAAAAGTCAGAGGACAAAGTGAGGAAGGAATTCATTAAAGTAAGAGTGTTAGGGAATGACAGAATAGACAATAAAGAAAGTTCATTGAACCAGCTACTCAGCAATGGGGCACGACCCCTGCCAACTCCTTAAGCCAGGGTCACCTGCCGTCCAGCATCTGCTTGCATCTGCGCGGCGTGGGATCTGAGTGCCTACCACCTCCAGGCATTGGGGGAGCTGCAGAGCATTGGATGGAGTGAGATTCTGTTCTGCAAACTTCCTATAGGTAAAGAAGGGAGACTTTCAGGCAGGTTACTAAAGAGCATGACTGTAAGCTGCAGTTCCCCGTCACCCAGGCGACGTTAATTTGCAAGCCCAGGTGTGAGCTCTCAGCTCCTTACTTGTCTGAGATAGGAGAGTGAAGGTTAAAGCCAGAATTCGGAGGATTAGAATGACAAAGCGAAGTAATAAAACACTACTGGAAAGGCACAGAGACTAGGCGTCCAAGTGAGAAGTTTATTTAAGGCAAAAGGAGCACACTTGTTGAAAGGGGAGGTGTGGGCTGCCCCAGAGAAGAGGCGTCCCTGAAAGGTTGGGAAAAGATTACAAGGATATGCACCTAGAAAGTGCGGGGACCCCAGAGAGAGGAGCGCCCCCTGAAAGGCCGGGGGCTCCCCCTTTTAAGGATTCTTTAGGAATGTGACTAAGGGCTGGGGGTGCAGACTTGTTAAGTGGTCCCTGAATACTTAGAACTAACAACACAAGGAAGATCCTGCTCTGTTTTCTCCCTGAGATCCCGGCATCTTGGTCTGGGAGCGTATCAAACAGCTTGCTTGCCCAGCCCCCAAGGTGGGCTGAGTTATTGTCTGTTTTTGACAGTAAGAATCTTACATTTTTAACTTTCCCGGTATTTAAAATACAGTCTTTAAGATGGAATCCTTCCAGCCTTTCACTATGTTGTTTACAGCTGGGCCTGCATGCTAAATTAGTTGCCTAGGTTACAGACTACTTAATTAGTGCCAGAAGGAGAAAAAAACAGCATATAAGTAAAGGAAAAAAAGTAAGCTGGACCTGCATGGTTAACACAATAAAGACATGGGCTGTACCTACCTGTACCTGGGAAATAAACATTCCAGGCAAAGTTGCTCTTGGCTTTTTGAGCTTTAATTGATTAATTTTGGGTCTTTTTCTCTTTTTCACCCCCACTCATACCTATTTTCCTAACAGATACTACATGCACCAATATTATCAAGTCCCTCCCCCATACTCCATTGAAGTCACTGTCCATCAATGTAGTAAGATGCCACAGAGTCACTACTTGTCTTTTCTGTTCTACACTGTCTTCCCACACACACCATGTGTACTAATCATGATGAGACAGGGACCATGGGCTTAGACAGAATAGGGTCAGGGCCTCTGGAAAAAGCAAGGCATGATATTTACAGTCAGAGCAATGTAACTACATGCAAGGAAACCCCCTACCAAAACTCTGTGTTAAACATTAAGCTCTAGAGTCATTCTTCAGTGACATCAGTTAATATTCCCCAGATAAAGAAGAGTAGCACATGTTTTTATCATGCTAATCATTTGTAATCATGTGTCAGTGTTACTTTAACATGCTAAAAGGCCCAGGCCTATGTGCTGTCTTTCCTCCTTCAGATCTGATGAGGTGATTTTGCAAACTGGGCAACTAACTTAGCATGCAAACCCAGCTGTAAACAACATATTAAAAGGCAGGAAGGATTCCACCTTAAAGATAAGATTGCATTTTAACACTCAGGAAGTTTAACAAGTAAGATTCTTAACTTTACTCTTTAGTAAACAGACAATACCTCAGCCCAACTTGGAAGCTGGGCAGGCAACCTTTTGATGTGCTCCCAGACCAAAACACAGGTATCCCAGAGAGAAAGCAAGGCAGGAAATTCCTTATGTTAATTTTTAATATTCAGGGACTACTTAACAAGTCCACACCCCTAGCCTTTTTTCATGTTCCCAAATATCCTCAACTGCCTATAAAACCCCTAGACAACGCACCACTACAGGCTCTCTTGTCCCCTCCTGGCTCATGCCAGGAGCTCTGTCTGTCTTCTCACTCTCTCTCAATAAAAGTCTCTCTGGCTCTCCTACCTTGACTGTTTGCTAAATTCATTCTTCGACTTGGCAAACAAGAACCCTGGCATCAGTGATACCCCACAATCCCCTTATCCCTCCCCACTCACCCTCCCCTAGCCCCCTCCCCCTTTGGTAACCGCTAGTCCCTTCTTGGAGTCTGTGAGTCTCCTGCTGTTTTGTTCCTTCAGTTTTGCTTTGTTGTTATCATGTATAACTTTTGACTCCCCCAAAACCTTACTACTAATAGCTTACTGTTGACCAGAAGCCTTTCCCATAAAATAGATGAACACATATTCCACATGTTATGTACTATATACTACATTCATGCAATAAAGTAATGTTCTTTAAGGTTCAACTGCACATGAAAATTATGCAGCAACTATCCAAAAAGTATATGTAAAGGAAACTATGATCTCAGTGATTTGGAACTGGGTATTAGAGTGGCCAAGTAATCATTTCAATTGAGCAATGATTTTGAAGTTACCTTAATTTCTAATTCGTTTTGTTTCCCCCAGTAGCACAGTGGAATTCTTTGCAAATGACAGCAATTGATGTTTCTGGCTATCCACCCAAATACAAACTTACAGATACTGAGCAGAACACCTGGCAAAAGCAACTAAGAAGAGCAAGAGCAAAAATAATGAAAATAATTTACAAAAGCACTAAGTATTCAAGTCTGATATTTGATTTTACCCTACTGATAGGCTAATAAGTTAGTCTGCTAACTGTTTCATGGATGCTGATAAAAGACACAAGATTTGTGGGTCAGAGACAAAGGACTGTGGTAACACAGGAAACAACGTGAGCTTCAGCAGGTTTGTGTTAGATTCCTCTTGCCCCTGCCTCACAGTGAGGACATGAAGGGCTCAGGTGAATGCTGTGCATTTAGTGGATTTGCATCAGAGTTGAGGAGCACTGAGCTTGGGGCATCTGCCATTTTACAGGAAGCAGTAAGCAAACCTGTTCTTTGTCCTGGATGGAGACATTAAGTTACTCACTGTAAACAATCCTGAGAAAAAACCCTGCTAATCAGCAGTCAGGGCCTTGCATTCTTGGTACAGCCATGAGGAAGGGTACAAAAGTGGAAGACCCATTAAGAGCTATCTCTCTTAACATTACTATGTGCCAGACACTATTCTAAGCATTTTACATCTACAGTATCACTTAATTATCACAACTGTATAGTGTCTCCTATTTTATGGATGAATAAACAGGGATAGAGAGCTCACACAGCTACTAAGCAGCAAATCCAGGAGATGCAACAAGAATATGTAGTCAAAAGACAGTAAAAGTTAACTTGCCAAAGGTCTTATGACTTATAAAAGCAATAAGCAACTCCCTGAAAAAAATCTGTCGACTACATAAGGTTTTTACAGGAATGCTCAGGGGGGAATAAAAACATTAGAATAATTAAAGCATCTCACAAATGTGCAATCAGGACTCAAAGTTATTATAGTAGAACATAAAAATTAATGTCATCTTATTTTATAACCAAGCAAATGAGGAATGGTCTTGATTAGTTACAGAGATGTAGAAATCAATACATGTTGGAGTAAGAATTTTGCTCCAAACTAATAGTGGCATTTGGATGAAACCTTAATCATGGTTTGAACTGAGTGCTGGATGGGAAGGAACTTATCCACTAAAGCAAGGAATCAGAGAAAGGAAAAGGGAGCTTCCACTAAAAGAGCTATTTTTTTTTACTTATTTTTTTTTAAAGTACTGAAGACTCACTCTGTTCTGGGCTCTGTAATAGGCCTAGGGATACAAAGAAAAATAAGAAGATAGCTACAAACTCCATAAGGGCAGTATGACATTATCAAAATTACAAATGTACATACTCCTTGATCTGGCAGTTCCACTTCTAAGAGTTCATTATTCTGTCACATTTGCACATGTGTGAAATGACATGTTTGTGAAGTTAGTCATTGCAGTATTGTTTGTATCCACAAAAGATTGGAAATAACCTAATGCTTGTTGGTCAAATTATGATACATTCACAATGGAAACGTGAGTAATTGTAAATAAAAATAAAGAAGCTCTTTATGTGCTGAGGTAGAATGATCTCATGGATACTGTACATAATTAAGTGAAAACAAGTTGCAGCACAGTCTGTAGAACATTTCGTTAAAAAGAAGAACCATAG